AAGATAAGAGAAGACGAATAATAAAATCATATGAATAACTAATAAGAATTAGTATTATAAATTTATAACAAAACAAATTTTTTCAATGTTAAAAATAATTTTAAGAAACCGTTTTAGTGCATTTTTTACAACCTGCTATATCTGCAATAATTTTATTAAATTTTCTTGTTTTTTCAAGCATATAAATCCCAATAATTATATCCCTATTATATCTTCGTCGAAAACCGAGAATAACCGCGAATAAGTGAGTAAAAAGTAACGTAGGTAACACTATGTTAAGACGTACTAGAAAAACCGTCTTTTATGCAGGCATACCGCGGGGGCCGCTCCCATCAGAGGTAACCGACGTCCTGCGTTGTTTTTATAGGTACCTAGTAAAATTATTACAAGATCCTTCTTAAAGGAAGCATAATGCATAAACGTAAAAACAACAGTTCGTAAACCTCGTTCGATTAATACCAGTTTGTGTGTGTGTCAACAGAGTACAAGGTGGTGCATAACGAATATTTAACTTACAAATTACATAAGAAAATATCAAATCCTTGCGATACAATACGTACAATAAACGTAATATACATTGTGTTGTTTATGACCTGTTCGAACACCCCTACACATCCCTGCACGGTGTGTTGTTTGTTAGTTGTTAGTACGTGAAATAATACATTTGATATTGAGGTGGAAAAAAACCAAACGAAATCAACACCGGGACTTCACAATAGAAAAAAATAACATTAAATAGCCAGTTTACCTTGCCCTTTCCAAGACGTCAAGTCGGATTACGAGGAAAAAAAATGTCATGGTATTCGTGCCGTAAGACAAGTGCAATGTGTTTTTCGAATACGCTAGTATGTGCGCGCATGCGCAACAAGACTCGCGGGGAAAAGCAAGTCGGATATATTGTGCTGAGCTAATGTGGTGGCGTTATTAAATTGGCTAGCGAAAAACCGGTTATCTCGGGAACCCGTTCCCAGTAATAAATCCAATTGCATAGTCCATCGCAACTGATTAGAAGTTCTCGTTATCAGCACCACATTTATTATTTTCCAAACAACCTTATTATGGCGGTTTTTACGGTAACACGCTAACAATATTATTTTTGAAACACTCAACGAGTCAACCATATTGAGGCCTATCKCAAATACACTTATAGTTATGAAGATGGAAGAAAAACAAAAAGTATAATTATCGACATATCATATTATGCGTTTTCTAAATTCTAAATGTATAACTAATTAATTGATATCATTACAGTGGTTGACAGTTAAATTAAAGTAAGTTACTGTGCCTACTTCAAATATAATATTAAATAATACGATCAAGTAAACATGTAAACATGGATGAAATAATATTATCATTTTTAGCATACTCATTTTAAAATCACACCTACCTATCTTTAAAAAAAAATTTGATCAATGGAGGATGTAGAATGTAGATGTTTCAGTCTAGTAAAATAATGCTCAAAAAACTATTGTATTAAGATTAAGTAGTCAATAACGATATAACATTAAATTCAATATTTTATAACGGTTTACAGGATATTGTGTATACGTCTTATTATAATTCGTTGTTGTTATAACGCATTATGCCATTACTGCGACAAACAACTATTATGCTTAGAATAGGTTAGGTACCTGTTTGCTCAGAATTAGAATGTAAAACTATACCAAGTGTAATAAGCAGAAACTATGAATTAAATTTTTTTTTAAACTACTGCTTTCTTCGTAAAATTATAATGTATTGTTGATTTTTTTCTTTCGTCCACTGCTCATTACACTTAAACCTGTATAATATTGACGGCCAGTAGGTACTCATATAACGGTAGTGACCGGTTTTTTAATCTTCATTTAAATCAGAGCTGTTCTTGAATAGGAAAGACCCAAAAAATCACATATTAATTATCATTGTGTAAATCGCACACTAGTAAACAGTGCGAGGAGTGATGTAGTCTCTTTACGGGGGCGATCTAAGACACGGTAAGCATTATTCGTGATGACGAGAGGGGAGGAGGCATCGTCATTCGCTACGGCACTCTTCACCGTGTGACCTTCCCTTCCAGTTATCATTGGTAAAGTATACATTATACACGGAAAACAGATGATTCCAGACAACCTAGGTACTGTGTGCACTGAAGTAGAAAACTTGTATCCATACTATAAAAATATATATATAATATACATATTAGGAAAAAAAATGTAGGTTATATTTTAAAGTTTTAATTCAGATTATCAATGGCGTTGACAATAAAACAGAAAATCCCGAACGGTCCCATACATGAACACACACACACCCACATCGCGATTTATGTCTAACCTATAGTGCATAATACGCGCGAAGATACCTAGGAATTAGGATCACTGTACGGAACACGGTTAACATGTAAAATTGTCAGACTTGTATTATTATTTGATAAAATAACCATGGTTTTATAACAGCCGTATGCATGAAGTAAACTGCAACGTTTAAAAATGTTTTACTACGTTCAATTAAAAATCGATTTCAAAAGAAACTTGGTATTCGATAATATTCTATTAATTTACTACTCGATTTCTAGTCAACGGTCAAACCGTAAAATAGTAATGAAAGGAGAAAAATATAAAAAAAGACAACCAAAACATGAACAATTAAAACGAAATTCATTATTTAATTTTTGTTCTATTGTGAAAAAACATTGAATGGAATAATAACGAGCAAAAAGTAAATAACTAAATTAGGTATTTGCACAATACTATCAAGTAGAAAACCTGTGATAMCGGTGTAATAACATAATAGTCAGCAAATAATTTAGTCCCGACATACCTACTTAAAAGATAATAGCACAAAATTATTCGCACGTGAAAAAGGTTGTTTTTAGTCGTTGAAAATGTATTCTAAAAACCAACTTTTTTCTCTATAATTCACCTCTTCTAAAACCCTTTGTCAGTAACCCTTTTTGATAACATATCATTTGTGTGATTTCTAAAAACTTTAATTTTTGTTATCTCCAAAATCTCGTAGGAACTCACCTCGAAATGTTTAAACCTTTATATATTTACCTACCACCTATTTAAGTTTTGGTATAAATAGTGAAATGTCAACAGCCCGCAGCTTTAAAATAAAATATGAATTCGTCACTTGGTGTGAAATACCCCCCTCCCTCTTATACGGAAAATCATATTTTTTCAGGAAAAATAATTTACTGTTTTTGTGGTACGGATATAGATGCATAAGTCTAAATCAGGGGTCGGCAAGTAATTTCTAATAGAGACCGGATGATTAAGATATTAAATAAATGAGGTCCAACGAAAACAATTTTTGTCAAATCTTTATATTTTTGTAGTAGTTTATGAAGATAAAAAGATTAAGATATGTTAAAGGTTTAGTTTTCTGCCTTCCACGGTCCGAATTCAGACCGCGGTCCGCCAGTTGTCGATCATAAGTCTAAATAGTAAATAAATCTCAATACAAACCTGCGTACAAATTTATTTTTATATTATACTTAATAACAAGATCTTTTTGAAGAGTTATTTAACTTGTATAATGTTTTATTTTACACTTGGTTGCTTAAAGCATTTTATTTCATTGTGTTTCCAAATTCATTATGTTAGATCGTGATGTTGTTGTGACATATAAATGCGGACAATAAATTGAATAGAAGACTATTTATATTATGAGTAATAAATCATTACTGAAAACCTAAACAAAGTTGCTTGTAAAAGCATACACAAATATATAGACATAATATTATTATTACTACAGTACCTACACATTAGGTCATCTATAATAAGAAATAAATAATCATCAGTGAACTTCGAAGTTCAACCGGTGAGTCCCCGTATCTACGAAATATTATAACGTGTTTATAGAGACAGGTATACCTATCAATTATCGTAACGCGGTGGTGCAATTTTTTTCGTCATATTAATATTATTATAATACACAAACCGTACACCTGCACAACCAGCACTGACGACCGACGTACACACATCCATAATAAATAATAATATACAATTGTACAACCTACCACAGGGAGGGCTTATAGGAGTGGCGTAGGGGGCTTATTCAAACCATTCTTTTTCAAACGAACATCAGTAAACTATAACCTTGTCCCTCCCAAACAATGAAGCCTGCTTAAAAAGTTAAAATCAGTAGAATACAAATTATTAATAACTTCAAGATGTGGCCTGATAAAATTTTAAAAGATCATCACGTGATGATATAAGCTTATTTTTTTTTTTTTACTCCAACTAGTCGTACCTACCTATAAAGAATATCCAACACTTACATTTCTGTCTCGAATTTTACGATAAGAATCTGCGTCTAAAATATTAGAAACGTGACCTAGGTATGTATATGATATAATATAGTACAAGCAAAACGCCGAAAACTAAATCTGTAAGTTTGGTATTTTGGTGGATTGCATATAACGTCACAGTGCCGCCGGCGGGATTTCCGTTAGGTACACACACAATACATAGATAATAATATCACAGTCGTAACGCGTTGCATTGTTGTCGGGACGTATTCAAATATTGTCGGCCGGCCAGCAACTGCATAGTAAACGATCCGTAGAGTATAGCAGGTGGTAGTGGGGCCGAAGTTACGATGATGATGATGATAATAATAATAATAATAATAATAAATAATAATAAAAATAAAAAATAAAAACCAGTCTCCTCATAATAATATCAAATATATAACGCTATAGTACAAGAGACCCCGCGGGCGGTTGATTGATGTAATTGTATCAGAATCAACAGATCCCTCCGTGGTGTTACGACAAACTCGCGGCGTTTATTATCCACGGCAGACATTCAAAATATATCCATTATGACGATGCCATACCTACACCACAACACAATCCGCTTCTCGGACGTATCCATAGTCCTATTTCATTTTRCCAGGCCGGTAATCGTTTCAACATTTACTCACATAAAGCTTATCAATAATTGTATATCAAAAAATAAGACTATATAATATTCGATGATAACAAATCGTGGTTTTGAAAATATTCTCGAACTTACCCGCGTCTCGTCCATATCCCGCGGCCACCAGCAAGAGTACCGCCGCGGTGGCGGCCAAGACGTGCGCCGAGCGCAACGTCATCGCCGCCGCCGTGATCGGCGTTCGTCGAGTCACCATCGCCCCGCGCGCGCGTTCAAAGTGGTGCGGGCGCGGTCGGTTCAGAACATCACAGCGGGCCGCACGTTCCCGGGAAAGCCCGCGTCGACGGCGGGATAAAAAGCGGACGGTCGCGCACAGGTACACGCGCGAAAACCGAAAAAATCTCTGCGGCTAAAGTCTAAGAAAACAGACCGAAATTCGAACGACAATCGCGTATACGGCGTTATTATTGGTACGATTCCGATTATCGCATGAAGCACTGCAGCACACTGTTCTTATTATGGGGGAGTATGATGCGTTTATTATTAAATTTCGTATTACTATTATCACGACGCACAATAAACTATAGTCGGACGACGAAACGTGGAACACACGTCGTGGTCGCGCGCGCGCGTACAAGTCACTACTATAAACTACCGGTCGGCGGTCACGTCGCACGGCACTACCTACTTGTTGACTGCGTTTGCCGCCTCTGGAATGAGCCGGCCGTCGCTCTCTCCCCCGTATGCGCACGCACGCACGCACCACGCGACGCGGTACCGAATTGCACGCACGCACTACGGCCGACGCGCGATACGACCGATGGACGGACCGGCCGACGACTACTTTGGACGTCTTTGGACGGCGACGCGATGACGTCTCGGTCTGGCCGTTTATCTTTATTATCATCTCCAGTTTACCTACGTGTTTGCCGTAGGTAAGTTTTTTTTTTATATATAATATCATCCTACCACGGTCCGAGCAACTGGTTCGTATTCGGGTTGGTAGGGGGTGGTGGGGTGAATATGTGTTTCGTTTTCCCGCAGCCCCGCGCCAAAGATGGTGGAAACGACGGCGCCGGGTACGCATTGCATACTGCAACCACCCGCCGGGCGCCAATGTGACGACGTCGCAGGTAAAAATATACTATAATTCATAAGGGCGATGATAAGGTGGTGTGTATATATACATTTTAGGTAATTGAAAATATATAGAAAAACCGTGTCTGGGATCGCCGTTTTTCGAGTGTCAACGTTGTCTTTTATTTTGCGATTTTGCCAACGATGATTGTTTTTTATTAGGTACTTATTAATGTTATAATTAAATTTTTCTGAGGAGAAAGATATTGAGAGTCTAGAGCGAGATTTGATATCATGATTCTGTTCTAAACGACTGAAATGAAAAATAAATAAATAATCGATGTGAACTAAACGGTTGTAAATACTATATATTATATTATGTACAGTGGACCTGACAAATTTTGCGTCATTGCCGCTACTAAAATCCTCACAAATTAAAAAAAAAATAGAGTATTCAACATTTTTGTAGACTGCTTATGCTGTAAGCATATGTAATATGTATTATGTATACTGTAGTGTCGTAAAAAAATAAGAACTTTGTCCAAAGGCAATATAGAGTCATTATTTTCTAATTTATTTATTTGTTTAGTTGTAATTTGTTAATATTCCCGAAATGTTTTATGATATCTACTTAGAAATATATCATGCAGAAATTACTTCACATTTTTTCACAAATGTATAATAACCATTTGTTTACGTGTCAATATGTCATTTAAAAGTTTAAAACTTCCAAATACGATTAATTTCACCAAAACTTAAATGCTAATTTTTTAGTAAAGAAACGTATTAAAATATTTCTTAAGCGAAAAAGACACGAATAAAAATCCCCATATAAATCACATTTATACATTTTGATGAAAAAGTGATATTTTATCAGCATTATTTTTTTATTCTTGAAAGTTCTATGCAGTCTTAAAGTTCGATAGTTACCCTTCTCCGATTTCCTTAACCATACCATCTATCTTTTGCTTTCCAGTACAACAACATTTTCTTTTTAAGGTGTTAAAAAGTCTAAAAAATATTTAAATGATATATTATACCTTTCGGAAAACATTTTAATTGATAAAGTGTATATCAACAATTATTTGTTTTAAATACCATACTATGTTTTTGAAATATTTAAAAAACAATATAGAAGTACATACAAACATTAAACATTCATGTATGACTATAATAGTTTAAGTGAATGTAGAATGACGTAAATTTCATTAACGCAGAGATAGCTGTAAATAGTATTTTTTTAATACGTGTCTATGAATTATTATTGTTTTTTTAAATAGGTAGTAAAAAGTGTTAATATAACAAGAATAAATTCAGAAACTAAAAATCATATAATATTTATAGTTTGTACAATATTATTTACCAAGTAGTCAAAGTATTTAATGTTATATTTGGTTGTCAATTTTAAACACTTTATCTACACAAACAAATAAACAAAAAAAAACATATTACAGAAAACAAAGAAGTACAATATAGTATTATTTATCGAAAAATGATTTCCTCTGAAGATATTATACACAATAACTACTCATACATAAATAACTGTCAAATAAAAATTGATGCACAAGCAATATTTGAAAATATATGTGAGAGAACTGAGAATATCCCATGCCATGATAAACCTCACTATCTATAAATTATTAAACCATGCATTACTTCAAATTATTAGCACATGGATGGTGCGTTCAATTTTTTTTATACTTACGTCTATTGTATAGATTTTTATGATTCATGACCTATCTTTATCTATTTCTTAATAATCATTAAAATAAATTTAATTAATCATAAACTCATAACTAATGAATAATGATACATCTTTTCAACTTAAAATATAAATTCCAAAAGCCTTATCCCAATATTTATGTATTTAACTGTATATTAAATACTCATCACCTATAAGAATTCATAGTAAAAAATTTTAAAATCTTTTAAATTTTTATGCATTCTTTTTAAGTTAAGTTTGTACTTTGTAGTTTTACTCATATAAACAATAATTAAATACTGGGACAGATAATATTATAACAAAATGTTAATAATTAAATAAATATTCAGGCTGAATAATTCCACTCAAAATCAACATTATTATTTATTAATATAAGTAATACGACATTATACGCACTATAACTTATAAACAAAAAGTTTGATCAGTCCTATATGGCTATATGTATAATACAGATATACATATTATAGACATACGATTAGACTATTATTTGAATTTTATGCGGGAAATGTAAATTTATAGTACATAACTAGAATAGTATTGATTATATATTTTGTTGATACTTATTTTATTTATTTATTTTTTTTTTTTTTAATAGGAACAAATCATCATAAATGTGAAAGATTCGAAAAACTATTATAATCTATAATTTGACCGACATAATAGCGATTTTTGACCTCAATAAGATAATAATACAAATAATATAAATATTATAGAAATAGTTTAGAATTAAAACGACCAAAAAAATGTCTAATATTTTCATTCCGCATATTCTCAATTTACTTAAAATATGTTAACGAAGTGGTAATGCGATATGATTCAAATAAAAAATACCATGAATCATACCAGTTTGTAAAACAAATTTTAAACGCACCGAAATACTGAAGTTGAAAATTAAACTTTAATAAACATTATCGAGTAAAAATTGAATCATTATTATTATTATTTATAATATAATGAATATGATGTTTACGTTAATATTTTATTATTGTAATTTCTTTATAGTCAACATTTTACTATCATTATTATTTTATATTTTTATGTAAATTTTACTTTTTTACTTTTCAGCAATGAAAAATTTAATTTAATTAGGAGGTATCCATATAATAATTTAATGAATTGCTGAAAAAAAGTCTCGGAAAAAATCCCGGTAAAAAAAGACTCATGCTAGGGAAAAAAATCCAGATAAAAAGAGTCCCACACTTGAAAAGTCAAATAATTTAAAATGTCTAAAATAATAAAATTTAATAAAATATAATAAAACATTATAAATAAAATTAGAGTACCTAATATATAGTTATTATAATAATGATATTAAAAGTTAATTTTTAAATTATTAGGACAATAAAGGTACAACCCTTTCTTAGATTATGACCTATGTGTGTAAAAAAATCTAACACAAAAATATTGCCCTCTAATATTTGTATAATTATATTTTGTAGATGTTTTTCGATAGTCTGAGTTTGTCCCAATTTTTTAATACTTTTCGAATCTCTTTCATCATCTACAGCTAACTTCGCTTCAACTGCGGAAATTTTCATTTCTATTGGTTCGATAAAAGAATCACCTGAAGAGCACCTAAGTTAAGTTAAGGTTTAGTATAATTTTAATTTAAAATTATTTTATTCAAATTATTTAATTTAAATAAAAATAAACAAATAATTAATTTAAAAAAAATACAATGTTATTTACTTTAAATAATTTATTTCGTTTACATTAGGTGGATCATTAAATGCCCTATGATTTCTAATTTTTCTTTTTAGATATTCTTCTGCTAGCAATTCAACGAGTATAGATTTTAGGGAATGTTTGATACTATTTCCGAAAACATTTGAACAGGAAAATCGCTTGTTAGCTAAGCTTTTTCTACAATTATATTTTTTATTTTGTCGCAGAAACAAGATGTTCATTTCCTTGATGCATATGATCACTATTTACAGAAATCAATGTTTGACAAGTTACCTATGTTTAAATCAGTTTTTTTTAAAATATGGACACTTCATAAAGCTATTTTTTAACACCTCCAACGAATAAAATTAGAGCATTATTTGTGGAAATTGTACAAAAATCTCTTATGCGCAACCTAAGAATTTTTTGTTAGAATTAATCAACTCCATTTTTCAATTCAAATTAACTTGCTTGTAAACTGCGAAAAAAACATAAAATTTGAAAACAAACGTATAAACGATTCAATACAATACTATAAAATACGATATCACCTAAAAGACTGGCAATAGTCTCATTACGTATATCATCATGACCTGTGTCAGATATTCGGAAATAGAGAATTTTTTGGTATACTAAATATAAGATCAGAAGGTACGGATTATGATAGTTATTAATGTATTATAGTACATAGCAAATGTACAAGCATTTTATACATTACACACTTAAATACAAAGCACAATTATTGTAGAACTGTACTACAAGATTAATAAGTGTGTATTTTGATTAATTTTTCATTCAACTTTTTCCGATTACCAATTTAATATGTGTACTAACAAGTTATACAACGATATTGTAAGTAGGTAAAGACTTTGGTTTTCAAAATAATTTTCTAAGGTCATAATATTATATGCAAATTCCATTGTACTTCAAATTATCTTTCAAAATATTTAATTTATAACTTTTAAATTGTTATTTTTGTTTGTGTTATATTATATTATAAAGTACCTATTAAAAAGCAAATTCGAAAAGTGTATTATTCTTATGATCATGACATCATGGTATCATAGTTTCATCTTTAAAATATTAATATTTTATAAGTCTATTTCTAATCAAGAGTTCAAGACTGTATTTGTTGGATAGTGAAATAGTTTAAGTTGTATAAAACTATAAAATGTCCCATCAGAAATTTCAATGTTATTTTTAATTGAATATTTGAATTTACTTATTGACTAAAAAATATTTCA